CAGGAGATCGAGTTCAAACTAGCTCAGCTCTTGATCAGTCAAATATTTGTTCTAACTAAATGAAATCCTGTATTTGAGCAATTGAACTCAATGGAAATGGATATAATAAAGTGGTAACTGAAATTTGTATCGTACAATTTTGATCAGAAATCATACCTGTGATTTCAAATCCAACTCGCGTTGTGCGTTCGTTCAATTTCGAAATCATGCGCATGATTAATTTCAGTTATAAATTTTCATGTTTGTATGCTTTATCACGAGTAATCTTTCAGGTGATGGGAGACAAAAAAGGGGGCAGAACTTCAGAGCTTTTAAGTCAAGACCCGAGCAGAATAAAAGATATAGAGGAAATCATTAAAACTGTGGGCGCGCCAGTGAAATTCATTCACATCGTCAGGAACCCATTTGATAACATCGCTACCATGTTACTTCGCGCTACAGGAAGACGTGATAGTGTAAGAGAAGAGGGAGTAAAAGTAAGTTGATTATTGATATTTTGGAAAACTTGGCAAATTACCATCTCATGAAAAAGCCACAAGAGAAGCTGAGGTGCATTCACAGTTTTCTTTCTTAGCATTATAATCATTATAATTATAGAATATAAATATTTCAATTTTTGTACGCCGGATAAGCTCGCCTAAAAGAGTAAAAGTTTTCGGCTAGACCCGTAGTCTTGATCGCTTGGTAACCACGTCTAAAGCGGCGGGTGATCAAGGTTAGAGGTCTAGCCGAAAGCTTTTACATTTTTGGGCATTATAATCATAATAGATATAGATAGAAAATATTTCAATTTTTGTACACCGGATAAGCTTGCCTAAGAAAGTAAAAGCTTTCGGCTAGATCCGTCGCCTTGATCGCTTAGTAACCTCGTCTAAAGCGGTGAGTGATTAAGTACATAATAATAATAATAGTAAGGTATTTATATAGCGCTATTTCTATCACTATCCAATAGCGCTGTACAGTAATTTTATAAATCGGACCGATAAGATTAAAAAAAACATAAAAATCTCTAAAACATGAGTATAAGAGACTAGCTAATAAGGTAGTCTGTAATAATGAGAGCAAAAACTTTAAACTTCTATTGAAATTGACTAATTTCCTAGCCAATTAACTAGCTCACCAACTAATCAACTAATTTACTAGCCAACTATCTAGCGGCCTAACTTACTACTTAAATAATTAAATAACTCACTAAGCAGTAGTCTAATTATAAAATTTGTTAAAAAGGTATGTCTTTATACAGGTCTTAAAATTTTGGCGATTCCACGTTGTTGTTTTCCATAGGACGGCTAAGAAATGTACAAAGTTTCAAAACGCACGTGCTGAGCTATTGTTCTGCCAATTAAATCTCTTGTTTTTCCACGTCCTCGTTGCCGTCGCCGTCGTGGTTTCTTAAGGTCCCTATTGTCATCACTTCTACCGTTTGTCCCTAACAGGTGAACAAATCACAGATTTTGGAGAACTGCATCAAGAAGTACTTCAACCTCACCGAGGCTAACCAGCGCGTCAGAGAACGGTTTGGGGATGCAGTTGTTGATATTCCAGGACGTGAAACAGTACTCAGACCGAAAGAAACACTACAAAAATTATGTGACCATTTAGGTGTGACATGTTCTGAGGACTACAAAGAAAAATGCAGTAGGATCTTGTATGGGACTCCTTCCGTTACAAGAGATAAAATTGTTTGGACTAAAGACCATAAACAGCGAGTCACCGAGCTGATGAAGAAATATCCGTTTCTGAAAGACTTTTCGTTTGATGATTACGTAACAGCTAGCAGCGGCTAGAACAATTTTCATTTTAGCGTTTCAAATGAGGATTTATTGGGTTTGCTTTTCGACTCCCTACGATGTTCCAGGAAAAATGTATCACTAATCAGTCAAGTATAGTCGTATGGGCCCCCTGTAGATTGTGCTTGTAAAAGTAGCATATTATGCTATTGGTATTGCACGTTTTTTTTTTCCC